TTGTTTTGTTGTCAGTCGCGACTTTTTCTTTTGCGTACAATTTACCACTTTGTCCATCTGATTGTCGTCACCACAGCAGAGTTTTTCACCAGAAAGTTGCGGAAAGAGGATCGTTTCGCCCGACGACATCCTCAACCGGGTCCTAAATTACAAGATGGATGTTGCGAGACTGCTTTCCACTGCCAAGGTTTGTTTTTGTGTCATTGTGTTATGTCTGTCGATCTCCTCTAGTCGATCTGGCTGATCATGAATCCATTTCCTCCTTTTCCGCCCCACCCTACAGTACATGTACCAAGACCAGGCGAAGAGGGACATAAATGGCGTCATCAACTGCTACCGAGGTCTGAAGCCGGTGATCGAGAAATGCCACCTTCCGACGGGCACCAAGCGAGATCTGGTTGTCCTGAAAGGCACCATTCCCGTTTCCTATCGAAATGCGACCTACAACATTCCCGTCAGCCTGTGGATTCCCCACAATCACCCTGAATCGGCGCCCATCTGCTGGGTGAACCCGACGAAGGACATGACCATCAAGGTCTCTCAACACGTCAATGATGCAGGACGTATCTTTTTGCCTTACCTGGCCGACTGGACCTCTGGCTCCAGCGACCTGCTTGGCGTCATTCAAGTGATGATCATCGTCTTTGGCGAGACTCCGCCACTCTACTCAAAACCTAAGCCGCAAGATCAAACAACCACAAGTGGTACTTATTGGCTTCTTTTTGGTGAATGATGTAATCCCTAACGGTCTGTTTTTCAGCTTTTCCCAATGCATCCAACATGCCAAAACCGAACACCTATCAGCCTTCCTATCCTTATGCAAATGTCTACCCAGCAGTTGCTCCTGTAACTTCAACATCATACTCAGGCAGTGCGGATCCGAATGCGTCCATCATGTATCCTCACTCCAGCTACATGCAAACTTACACGCCTCCAACAACTTCAGCAGTCAACACCGACACTATTCCTCGAGAGCACATACGCATATCACTGGTCAGCGCTGCTGAAGACAAACTGAAGGCACGTTCAAAGGAGCTGATTGCACAGTACAGCGCCGAAATTGGCGTCCTCAAGAAGACATGTAAGCGCAGTGCAGACTTGATCAATTAGGCCGTTTCTTATTATTTGTTTTCTCAAACAGGTGACGATTTAAACAATGGCAAGCAAAAGCTGGACAACATTGTCAAGACGATTGAGAACAACCTGGTTCAGCTGAGTGAGTGCAAGGAGAAGCTAAAGAGCAAGGACGCCAAAGTGGACGATTGTCTGGCCAAAGCCGACTCGACGAAGGAGACGTTGAACATTGACGAATACTTTGGCCCCGTGCAGCCACTGTACAAACAGCTGTTCAATGCATTCGCCGAGGAAAATGCCATAGTCGACACTACTTACAACCTCAATGAAGCCCTGCAGAAGGGTGTCATTGATTTGGACGTTTTCATCAAGGTACGGCTTTTAGAGTTCTCAGTTTTTAAAGATAAAACTAATTTGTCTCCTTTTAGCATGTGCGGGAACTGTCACGTCGGCAGTTTATGTTGCGAGCTCTGGTTAAAGTGTGTCGTGAGAAGGCTGGCTTGCCTACCTAACCAAAGTGATTTGCGACCTCACACCCACTTTTCAACTGGACCAGCCTGCCACAAGGACAATTATCATGCACACTGTGGACAAGCAATAGTCAACTGTTAATTAGGAACTGTTTATTATTTATCTTCAATTTGGACAGAACACACACACACACACTGACACAAACTCCGCTGTTTTGTTGCCATCAAGTCAATTTTATTTTACTCTACTTTTCAACGAAAAAGGTGTACACTCATTCACACACACACACA